TGAAACCAGAAGATTCTAAGTTCAACCCCTAGCAGGTTAGTGGGTATATGCTGCTGAGGCATCCCATACTGGGACGAAACAGCCATCCAGGCTCTCAGGTTTCCAATGTTTCTCCAACTGATATCAGTCCGTGATGAATATTACATAACTGTAAATAATGATATACATCCTCATAAAGCATACTAGCCGGAAAAATATGAAACAATCAAAGCGGTAATTCATTTAGAAATTCACTGTATATATGAGTATATGTATAGTGGCAAATAACACGGCTAATAATCACACACACACACCAGCCTTTAGTGGTGGTTTATATAACGGAAACAAGAATAACACCAAGGTTTGTTTATTATACGGCATTAATCATATCACTTTGAACTTGTTCACAGGTCAGTAATTCCATAAGGCGTAACAGTCTACATACTAGTAACAATAATGATTATTGTTATGACATTAAAATAATTGAAATTATATTTAATGAGAAAAACTAGCAGTAATAATAATTTCTCTAGGATTTATTATATTTCTAATTAGAATACAATAACGAGTAACAGCCAGCGCTGATTTGTTGACTTAGATAGACAAGAATGCAAGATATACTACTGAGTGACTGGAGTAGTTACAAACCATTCAGATTGATCTGTAGTATTTTGCCAGTCAAATTAGAGTGATCTAAACACCGAACTGCTGTGTTGCTCGTTCGGGGCCAAGGTGATCAGCGGTATATCTAGACAAATTCAGCTCATATACCCAAACTAGTTCAGATCACCTGAATATGGCTAGCAGAGAAATGTCAATGTGGACTGGGCAAACTGATCATTCTATTTTAAAAATGTAGCATCGTATTCAATAAAGTGTTGAAGAAATTTCCGTTATTAATTGACCTTTCGAAACAGTTATCACTATGACTTGATAACAGTTAACAAATCGTTGGTTCGACAGCTTCCAGCTGTTTCAAGGCATGACCAATTTCATTATTAAGATAACTATTTGTAAGTCTCGTATTCAATACATTCGACACTATTCAGCCCTGAAACTAGCATTCTGCAGCTTGTATTACTTAGCAGTATGTCAGCATGATCCATGATGATATCTACTCTAAAATCGGTTAATTTCCTAGAAGCCTTCAAAACAAGGTGGGTATACAATTGTTCGATCTCAACGACGGTAACTAGGATTTCAAATATGAGATAGGGAGAAGAATTTATACATGACACATAACCTTGTCTTTTACATATAACTGTTCCTCTCTATAAGTAGCTTTAACTAGTGGTATGGGGGTGTTGATTGAAGGTGAAATAAGAAGCTGGACCGTAACAGGATTCGACCCAATGACCTTCGACTTAAGTATCAAGTGCTTTGCCAGATGAGATTCAAGACCCGACTGCCGACCAAAATGTTAACTCTACTTCAACTATCGGGTGGTTTAGCTCAATCGTTAAGTTACATATGGAACTACGGATCTATACTGTACACGTTTTAATGTCTGACAAGCAATTTCAACATAAAATAAGCCTATCACTTGTTTATTTGACTAAACTAATTTAATGACATGGACAGGGGATAATTACTGTCCACGTGGGAATAAATTGAGTGATACAAGGTTATATTAACATAGGTTACAATTGACATAACACAAATACGACCTAATTACCAGATAGGGAGTTAACAAGGTTGGTCTAAAGACTAAAATATAACCACCATTGAATTCATACCAGTGACTATGCGATTAGATTTCTCCTGTTTAACAAATCTTAATCACGTGAACAGTAATCATAATGATGCAGTACTAAAACGTAGACGCTATGTAATAATAATGATAAATAGTGGAAAGCAGCGGAATCCAAGACAGGAGTTTCGTCCTACTTGGGACCAATTGCCTGGTTGTACCCATCTACCAGTGAATAATGCTGTTCCCACCGGGACTTGAACTCGGGAGCGGAAGCTTCAAACGCCAGAGCATAATCCATTAAACCACCAAGCCACGATAACCACTTCTTGTGCGATGCGTATAACTTTAGTGTTGTCACTTGTACTATCCCGTCGCTGATTGGACCGAATTGATCAGTCTCTATTGCTATATGGGCTCCTGCGTGCATGCCTCAATATTACTTATATTTTAATGATATATTAATGATGGATAGTGGCTAGTGATGGAATAATGAAACGAATAAATTCAAACAAGGCAGATTTAGGATATGAGAATTGATGAATAATGTATCTTGCAGCATATCTGTTTTCAGTTCAAACAAAACTGGAAATATGGACCACTCGATTCTGACCCAGTGTCTCAATGGTAACGCGCTGGCCGTGGAACCTGAAGGTCGTGTGTTCGATCCCTGGCAGGGTCGTGGGTTCGATCCCTGGCAGGGTCGTGGGTGCGCACTGTTGAGGAGTCCCATACTAGGACGGAACAGCTCTCCAGTGATCCCAGGTTTCCTTTGTTCCTCCAACTGATGTCAGTCTACGATGAATAACAACTTGAAATATTTCCAAATCCCCACAACCCCCTCAAAACTGTTATAGCATAAGGTAAGAAGAAAGCATACAAGATATAATAAATAGTCCAAAGGATAACAGAACAACTTTAGGGCATAAAAATAAGAAGAAGACGGAAGTAAGAAAAACCGGTGGCAAAGCAGTAACCGAATTATCAAGCAGACTGCTTAAAGGATACATTTTCGTGGAACATGCATTATTTTCATAATACTTTTCTATAACATAAGAAACAAGAAGGCTGCAGAATGATACCAGTGTTTCTGATTCTAAGTAAGGTCTCAAGACACAGGGCTAGATGATCTCTCAGACTCTGTAATCACTCACTGATGCCATTTGGAGAATCATTGAAAACATGATATTATTGGACGGCTGTTTCATCCTGATGTGGGACTCGTCAGTAGTGCACACCCACAACGACAGCGTCAACCATCCAGCAGCTGGACTGAAGTTCAATGGTTCACAGCTTCCTAGTTCTATTAATTCACGATATAGCGCTACTATTATCATTCAAGATTATCAGTCGGCCACGAAACCCGAATATCTTGAATTCAATCCCTGATGGGGTCATGGGTGCATACTGCTGATGAGCCCCATGCTAGGACAAAACAGCTATTCAGTGCTTTCAGGTTTAGAACGGTTCTCCATATGATACCAGTCCGTGATAAATACTAGCATGAAACTAGTTTATCGTCATGTAATCGATTGAGTATATCGTTATATGCAAATAAACCCATGTTTATGTTTATTCATTTACTAGATGCGTGATACAATGAAACAGTATTATTTACTGCGTAACGTTTCGAACATGGACTATGATATTATAAGGAGAATAAGTGGACTTCAATCGGTATTATTATTAATTGCGTAATAAATCATTAGGTAGATTACATTTGCTAGTGACTACCGAACGTTGCCAACAGGCCAGACTGATGCACCACATAAATCATTGTCGCCTACATTGCTTAGTAAAATTAACAGATTTCAACGAGAATTCTGTAAACATCACAACTACATCGCTGACCATCTGATGACAAAATCGTGTGCATACTGCGATCGTGAAAAAGGGTTGGTTAGTCATCATCTGAGCAGCTTAATGGTAACACCTAACTGAAGTGTTAAGTGATGTAAATTCGATACTTTGAGGGCACATGAATTACAGAAGAACCTCACTACTGAATGCTAACAAGCACGAAAGTTAGGTAAAGGCTTTTCTACAGCTTGGTTTTAACACAACAGGAAATCAGCGAATCCATGCATATTGATGCGGAGTATTATGGTACGTACAGTTTCCGTGTAATCTTGCATTTCTATCCAATGACCGATTAAAACAGCAATCGGCTCACTTTCTTTCACGGTGATAGACTATATCCTGTTCAGACTTTCTTCTAGTCAAGTCAATGACTATAAACATCAGTTCAACGGAACTTAACCTATTACAAGTTTGTGCATTAGACCATGAGCCAAATGTATTGCTTGGGCGTTGAGGGGTTGGGTATGGATACTACTTGATCACTGAGACCGAAGCATAAAGAACATGGCTTGAATCCGCTACCCATGCTTCACATTAAAATTCTTAAACCAATAAGCCACTTGTTAAAGCGAAACATGACTTAACTGTGTAGTGGTACAAGTTATCGCACCTCCATATCAGCATGTACAAGGCAATACAAGGAACTACTGAAAATGGAAATATAACCAAAAGTTTTAGAAAGGTATTAGATGAGAAGAAGTGGGGAATGAACTTCAACCTCCCTCCCCCATCCTCTTCTTCCTATCTAATGATATTCTAAAACGTTTAATTGCACTATTTCTATTGTTTATATGAGGGGAATCTGTGCCAGTAAGATCGATTCCGAGACATCACATTGAGTCTCCAACCACCAAATTCGATGGTCATACGGACGCCAACCTGCAAATCTATATTTCCCTACATAGCATAAACCAACAGTCAGAGACTTTATACTACGATCCCGCGATTTACTTTGGTTATCTCCTACTTTTTCCATTCAACGGTTGTGCGTCGGGGTAAACTAACACTATGTATGTGTAATACAAGTGCTATCCATCTCAGTCGATGATGATGTACAGCCTCATCAACTGATTTCCTTTACATAACACTATGTCTAATCCCTACATTATTGAAGTGGTCGTTCTAACCAGTACTGTTGATCACACGTTTATCCTACTTAGCTAATCAATTCACATCTCGTCTGAAGTTAGGTCTTTCAGCTCAGTTAGGAGATCACTAGGCCAGCATCCTGGAGGTCACTGATTCGAATCTTACTGCGATCAAGGTTTTCATTTAACCTCCAATCATCACCCAATATCAGTACTGCATATCCAATGGTGTGATTCATTAAATTATGCTAAACAGAATGTGTTCATCAGTGTAGATCTATACTGCGGCCTAGATTTCCTTCTCAAAAACAATGATTTTCCTGGATCCCATTCTGAATAGCAATCATTAAATCGCATACAAAAGAAAGAAACATTGTACTTACATCCAATTGCACCGTTGCTAAATGTTAGATAATCATTATTATATGTTGTCTCATGAAATGGATTGAAAATTGAGTGTTGTTTTAAATACGAGTTATGATTATGATTCAATTCATTGTTAGTAAGCTGGTGGTGTAGATGATGATGATGATGATGATTGTAGCTATTGTCATGAATGTTATCTTTATCCGGATAGTCAAATGATGACAAGTTAGTAGGATATTTATTTACTGATGATTGATTCAATTTAATCGATTTTGTGCTTTGATTGTGTTCCTGATGTTTTTTAGGTTTATTCAGGTGCTTCTGTTCATTCCAATCAGTGCTAGTAATATAATTATTGTTATGCTCATTCTTGACATGAATTTCTGAGTCAGTTTCATTAAAATAATCTATTTTGTGCAAAGAGTCATCACCATCTACTTCTGAGTTGAAATCATTTCTCAAATCTAAGATATTTATATCTGAATGATGGGAATAGTAGTTGGTTTGTTGATCACTGTCGTTATGATGATGACCTTCAGTACTGCCATCACCGTCGTCATCAATATCATCATCATTGTTGACTTCGTCTAACAAAGCATTGATAGAAAAATGTAACTGTCCAGAAGTTCTTGATGTCGTCGAGTTTCCGTTGTCCTCTTGAATATTTTTTACTGAGTCATGATTATTAGTACTTCTACTAATTTCTAAATGTTTCCAATGGGATAAATACTCCGGCGAGTTGGGTGAAATATCTTGAATACTTTCATAATCCATTGAATCACCCTACAGATTCTCTGAGGATATGAATTTCACAAACAAATAGTAGTAATAATTAATCACTTGCAAATGATTATCATAATAATAATAATTAAATTATTGTTTTCATTCAGTTGATGAATACACTTGTAAACGGTAATCATCTTTATGACGACCAATCAAAATAAAATACTGATAAAAAAGCATAATACTGCGCATAAATGTAACCAATCACAATCGGAGAAATTTTTCATGCAGACAATAAATTTAACCAATCATAATAATGAAATTTAGTTAAGGCTAAAATATATACACAATCGTATAAACAAAGGGGAAGAAAAATTGTCAACTCCCATTGTTTAGATACACAGATTATCGGGACATGATTAAGTTGAAGTTCTGTTGAAATTAGAATTCCTCTGGTAGCCACAACCAAATAAATTATCAGAATCAGTTCTTCTTACTAAAAACTAACTTCATTCTTGGAAGGCGAAACACCCTAGTCATTATCAAAGTTATAATTGAACATAAGCTTATTTTTCCAAACACTAGGAATAAATCTATGAAATAAGCAGTCAAGACTGATAACAGATTAGGATAACTTCAAAACTAGAAAGTCGTTTCATTCGAACAGGGTTGATTCTATTGGTAAGTTTATGCTGAGTGATTTAATCCAGAGAAAGAGAGAGAGAGTAAAGTGTGCGAAACACTAATTTCTATCAGTTAGCTGAATGAACTAGCACTACACAGAATTAGATATGTACTGAAGTTAGAATGATGCGACTAGGTGGGTTTCAATTGCTAGATTTCATGCCACCTCGAAGGTAAACCTAAAAAAAGATTCAGGTCAGTGACAGAAGTAATGATATCATGAGTATAAAGATTGTACAAGAAATACAACTAACTGGTATGAGGAAATGTAAACCTTGGTAAGATTTCGCAGTTGAATTTCATTCACTTTTCCTTTATAACTTATAACTTGATAACTTATTTTGTAATCATCTGATTTCATTAGATTATGCGGAGTATTGTAAGAATCTTGTCTAGTCGGAGACTACTTTATTGCAATTAACCTATGAGATTTTATCGATTAAACATTGTAGCAACTTTGTGCATATTCAAGCAGAAGGCAATCAACCATACCTATTGTGTGAGGGCGATGATACCACTTGGTTCCCCAAACCTGTGAAGGTGGGTCCGGGTTCGAACCAGAGACCTAGAGGTTGAAAGTCATCTCCCTTAACGAATGAGTGATAGCTCTATTTACATAGTAATTCTGACCAGGGATTGGCAGGGCAATACAGGATGGACAATTCGTCTTGTTTGGAACTGCTGTCAACTGGATTCAGTGGCACCTTAATGCTGTTGTTGCCAGTGAGACAAGAAGTAAGCATCAATTACTTCAAACATTAGAGCATTATCAACTAGGTACATTTTGATATCATGATTATTTCCTGTTGTTGATTGAGTTCGATCAAACCTATCGATACGATCTCAGAAGTTCATTTACGTGAATACTCGATACTTTCAGATGAGATGACAACTAGACCATGGTTATTTCTGTTCAGGAGTGTATAACATTAATAAGAATACTGCGAAATGATCGATATAATTCGGTCGGACTAGACAACATGAAACAGGCTACTCTCTATTTACTAATCAATGAGTATAATGCACATCTGCAGGAAGTCATCTGTCACTTGGTAACTTTTCTGACTGCAGTACTAGGTATTGCGGCTTCGAATATATGATGGACTTCATTTAGGTTTCAGGTACTGCTTTGCGACAAGTCTCAACAAGCATGACAAATAGGTTCAGCGCTATCTGCTGGTGTCCCGCAACTGTCTGAAGCTAATCAGGAAGCAGCCTCGAACTTCGGTTTCGGGCTTGTTTGAAGTCATCAGCAAGACATATCTGCGACGTCGAGGGAACTGATGTCTCCTTTAGGATTTGAACCCGCATCATTCCCTCCCATATTGAGAAACAGTAACAGTGAAGTACCGATCCAGGCTGTGACCAGCCCCTTATAGGACTAGATCAAATACACTGGTTGGTCACCAGAGAGTAACTAGTTTCATACTGTCTAGTCTTAAGTGATGTTCGAATTCTGTCGATCATTTTTTAATGCGGTCACCAAGTTAGGAGAGTCAGGATTACCGTGCCATTTTACTGATGTCGGAGGGCTAAAGATAATCGATTAGAAGATCTGGACCTGGGTTTCATGTTTGTTGATATCCATTAACAGTCCGTATCTGCAGCCATGAGCAAGCTATTATTCGCAGGGTAGCTCGAACCCCCGCCGTCCAGCGCTGAAGCCAGACGAGACTTTACCAATTTGTTATTCAGATTATTATTATTGGTCCTTTATAAGACTAGATTAAGTAAACCAGAAGTTCAGCAGTAATTAATCAATGTAGTGCTCAATAGCACCGATTAACTTCAAACATTTAACATCAATATATACTGCAACATAATACTGCGTCCTTTAGCTTATTGATCGCATCGAATACTTAATTGATTGACCTTGACTGATTACCTGCTAGTAACCAGTTTGCCTAATTTTAAGTTAAACTTAGTTTAGCGGATCATTTTAAACTGGATATTAAGATGAAATGAAAAACCTTGTTTCAACGTTTTGTTGAGCCATACATCAACACCACATTTCCTACTTAGTGCTTCATTATCTGAGCTACAAGACCCGACAGCCTATCAGATTTTTAGTTCACTTCAATCATCAAAGGTTTTTGCCTGATTGTTGTGTGAATTTGCAACACATTACGATCACCTAGTGTTGATATGTTGCGCTGTGTTGATTCAATGTTGGTGATGGGACTTTAGAAAAATTAAGAATTTATAAAGTCTAGAACTTTGTCTTGCTTCGAAATGTACACGATCTAGTATAACAAGGCGTCTCTAGAAGATCGACTGAAAGAAGATGAACTGAAAGTTAAATCTAATTTAGTAATTTTCACTTCACTACACCTTTATTGTATATTTGAAATGTTTATATCACTATAGTAATGATGGATAGTGGCTAACAGTGGAATCCAGGATGCGCAGTTTGTCCTGTTTGGGACTTGTCAGCTGGATTTACCTGCCTCCCAGTGAGTGCTGTCCCCACCAGGACTCGAACTCAGGAGCGACCGCTTCAAACACCAGAGCGTTTTCCACTACATCACAGAACAATGATAGCCACTTCTTGTGTGACGGGTATAGTTTTTAGTACATGATTGTTTTTATATCATACCGTCGTTGATTGGACTGAATTGATCGGTCTCTATTGGCATATGGGCTTCTGCGTGAATGCCTCGATATTGTCCGTGTTCTAGTTATAGTAGAGATGGATAGTGGCTAGCAGTGGAATCCAGGATCCAATTGAGGTGATATGAGTAAACTTCAGTAAAACACGAGTATACTGTTATTAAAATGAAGCGATCATGCAAAATTCAGCACTAACGCATATGTTATGATTACTGTAACTTAGTAACCATGCCAAGGTTTATGTGCCTAGTGTTTGATATTGGATTACCTGGACGAAAATAGGCACCATCCAGAGAATAACAGTAATAATGTGTCATTAGTAAGTTTGACATTCTTGAGAAAGGTTTTTCGCAGACTCATAAAACTATCCTCACTGTGACAACTCTACTCTACTAACACCACAACGAGGAATGTAAAAGAAATGTCATGATTACCGCAGATGTTAAGCAAACGAAAATAGAATATTCATTATGCTTTGGTCTGCTTGGTGGCTAACAGTGGAGTTCAGGACGTATGTTTCGTCTTGCTTGGGACTCATCAGCCCAGAAGCCCAAGATACGTCGAGCGATGCGACCCATTGTAAGAATGAGAGATTACAAGTATGAAACCAAATTGGACCATGTTTTATTCACCTGAGTATTTCGGATCTCAATTGTTCATGAATCTGAAAGTTTCAGGTTCAGGATCCCACCTTCAAATTGTAAGACATCCGACAACCTGACGGTTGTACTATATGCATTGATCTTCTTTCCAAAGTGCAGTACACTCGAGAAAGATCTCGTCTTTGTGTGCTGCATAGTGATATGAATCTATCCACTATCTACATTGACTTTTCTCAGGAACCACAGTCTGTATTGATCAAGGTGACGCATTAAAATCCCACTAAATTCTACTACTGACAACCATGTTGTGTACAAGTATCAGTTGTTATATGCTGATAGTTATAACTCTCGGTTCCTTTTTTATTTGATGGAGTTGATCGTGACCTAGTGGATAATACTCTGATATTTGAAGCGATGAGTACCAAGCTCGAGTCTCGGTGGGAAAACCATCATTTAGTGAGATGCAGGCATATCTGCGTGACGGATTACAAAAATGGGAACATGCGCATTCTGAATGACATTGGCAGTCAACACCAACAATAAAACATCACAATCAGACTCGTATTATGGTTGAGATATTCAGTCAAAGGTCTCGTATGCCAACAGAGATCTGTTAATTCGATTGAATAAGATAATCAATCGGAAATTAAAGTTGTCGAGAAATAACGATTAAGTTTGTAGTATAGTTTTCGGTTTATATAGATTTTTGAGATGAATGGGGATTTTTAATCTAGAGGTAGTATTCATCATGGACTGACATGGGTGATAGTCGGGCTATAATGTGAATTGACAGAAGCTGGAAATTGTGAACTAGTGGCTGGATGGTTAATGCGTTCAACGTGAAACCTGAAGGTCGTGAGTTCAATCCCTAGCCGGGTCGTGGGTGCGTACTGCCGAGAAGTCCCATACTAGGAAGAAACATCTGTCCAGTGTTCCCAGATTTCCAATGGTTCCCCAACTCATGTCACTCCACGATGAATACTATTTCCATATTGTAGAGATTTTATTTTAAAGGTAGTATTCATCACATACAACCTCGCCTGGTTAACTAGTTCACTAGTTCCTAGCCGGTCCTATGCCCGGGTAATCACGGAAGGTTAGGCATACGGCTAGCAACCCTACCCCAGGAAAACCAATTCAACCACTAAACAAACTTCAAAGCACAAACAAAATATAAAAAATAAAAACAGACTTATTCCTCTCTGGGATCGGAGCGGCGAAATGACGCCGACTGGTGAAAGCCTTCGAGAA